AATAATACCTAGGTGAACTCCTGATCCAACACAAGAATCCTCCCATGCACACTCTTGAGATGGGGCTGGGGCCATTCAGGACTAGGGAGCTCTTGAGGTCACCAGAAAGTGAGCCCTTCTATTCCCAAATGTCATAGCATACTCCAAAGCCACTTCTTACATTGTACCAAGTCTATCTCCCTCTCACCAGAGACTCTAATTCTGTCCTCTGGAGACCAAGCTAGAGGAAATCTACTCCACTTTTCTATGGCAAACCTTGAAATGAAGGGAAGTTCATTACCTCTCATAAATGCCCTCTTTTCCAGAATAAACTGCCTCAGCCTCTTCTGTTATTTAACATTTTTTCACAGCCCTCACTATCCTTACCACCTTCCTCTGAATGCCCTTGGACCTTTCACTGATTGGACAGGTATTTGCTGGGTGCCTGCCAGGAAGATAGTAGCTGCTGAGAATGCACAGAAAAAAGCATAGTCTCTGTCTTGAGATGTGATGGGAAAGAGCTCTCCAACAACTGAGTGTGGTATGGGGAGTGCTATGTCAGGGGCAAGACCAAGGGATTCTAAAATCCCAGAGGATGGAGAAGCTGACAAGTGAAGGGTGTGTTTGTGTGTGTGTGTGTGTGTGTGTGTGTGTGAAAGTACACTTCAGAGGGGAGAGAGAGAGAAGGACCAGTAGTTAGGGAAACTGCCTGTGATTTGTAATTGCTACTAGAGTCAGGGTTGATTTTCAATGGAAGACCAGAAACAGGCTGGAGAAGTCAACAGGGGCAAGGTCATTCACCCCATTGTATAGAGTCTATTCTGAGGACAACAGAGGCCATTGAAGGCTTGTAAACAGGATACTAACATTCAAATTTAGATTTTTAAGAATTATCACACTGATTGGAAGTTGGAGAAAAGACCAGAGGCATCAGGGTCTATAGCCAGAACATAGCAGCGCAAAGCGGGACTCTACCTGTCTTATTCTAGAAGGTGAGCTTCTGTGCTTGTTGCCTGTCATTGTGAGTTCTGGTGGCCACAGTTTACTGTGGTTTCACATTCAGGGCAACTGAACCTTTTTTTCTATAGGAATAGCTGTGTGAGCTCTTTTCCAGCATCTATCTCTGCAACTAATTGCATTAAATTAATCTTCTTAGTTTCAGCCCCTCCTTTTAGGCTGTTAAAATCTTTGTGCATCTTAATACAACCTCTTTGTTTTTAGCTAAGGGGAAATACTGAAGGATTTGCCAAAAGGCACACCCATAATGAAGGGTAGAAGCAACACTGAACCCAGGTTTTCTGACTTCTAAGCCAGGCACGCTGGTGTTCTACCTCTAAGGGAAATTGATCTGTTTAAAGAATAAAGTGGAAATTGACTAGCAACAGCTTACTTGGAAGAAGAGATCTTAATTTATGGATCCCAAAGGCAGGAAGGAAGACCTTATGTCCCTTTGTGCTATTTCCTCCAAATGACTGAAAAGATCCCTGAATTTGAATCTACAATCAACAGTTATTACACATCTTCAGGTAGCTGAGGGTTACTTGTTCAATTCCAATCATTTAGGCACTTGACAATATCAGAAGGCTTGAGAGATTTTCATAGGGTGAAAAAAAATCCTAGAAGCTAATGAATGCTTAACAAAAGCTGCTCTATGAAACGGAACACATTCCAAAGGTAAAAGCCATGCAGGGAGACTGGACAGGTGATGGGAAATGGGACACCCCTAGAGGGGGGAGAAAAAGGAGGGACAGCACATAGATGGTGCATCTGTGAATGAATAAATACCTACAGGAGCAGGATCCTTCTCAGTTGGGATCTAATCCACCAGTTTCTGGACAGAATGTCTTTCTACAGGCCCCTAAAATCTGGTGATGGTGCTCTCTGGGTCCTGCTCACTAATGTCTCTGGATGTGTTTCCCTCCATCCTAAGAATCAGCAGTGAATGGTGTTGAGAGTCCAGTGCCCAGTTTGACCAGTGTAGTTAGTTCATTCACCCACCTCACATGCCAGACATTCACTGGCTCTTTTCTTCTATTATTTTTCCTTGATTTCCACATTCCCCTACTTTTTTTTTTTTTTTTTTTAACAAAACAGCCCTCTACTTCTGTCCAACTCATCCTACATCTCCTTTGGTCAATTCACAGGACCACCCCCCTTTTCCCAGGACTCAACCCTTCCTCTGCAGCATTTCCATCACCTCATTCCTCATTTGAACCCCAACTCAATTCCACCAGTGCAGTCCTCTCATCACACCCTCTGTTCTCAAGCCATAGTCATTATGGGCACATCAGACTTGTTAGATGAGCAAGGATTTTATTAATCCCTACAAAATAAGCGTTGTCTTTTAAAAACTGTTGATGCTTGTCTTCAAGTAACTGCTGATTGGCCAAATTTCACAAATGGAGTTAAGAGTAATAGGGAGCAAGTTCAAAATAGACTTTTCAGGGAGACACTATGTAAATCTTTATCTACTTTTCAAATACTAGGCACCATAGCCTTTTTAAAAGCAGAGATATCAATGAAGCTGTGTACATTTTGCTCTGAGCCCTGATACTTATGGTTCATACTGGAAAGGAGGCCCCACACGCTTGGACTCACTGGGATGGTGACCTGGCCCCGAGCTCTTTCCCTGTGGGCTAACAAAGCTGGGTGAAGTCGTGGAAAAATTACTTCAGGAGATCGGATGGCAAAAGCATCACTAAAGCCATCAAGTGGGGAATACTTTTGTAAAGTGCATTTTCTATAGCTTTCTATCTGGTTTCTCACACATCTTCAATGACACCTGAAAAGCTGTGTTGAAGTGAAATGCATTTGTCTAGTTCCGGGTTACTCAAATTACCTCTCTTCCTTGCCAGGAAATTCCAAGTTCTGGCAAGAGATGCCCGTATAAAGTCCCACACAGCCGGAGAAAAAAGCCTCTCTGACACAGAGGACTTCCAGAGGATTAAACACAAACCACATTTTAAAAAAATAATAAAGTAAAATGAAAGCTTACTCGGCTTACCCGCCCAGCAGGCTGCCTTATGGAGAGGATGCTGGGCACTGAGCCGTTCTTGGCCCTCAGAGAGGCACTGGTCCATGCTAGCATTTTGTCTTCACTTTACGCACACCACCGATGGAACAACTGCCATATCCAGCTGGATCTCATTGAATTTAGCCTCACTCAGCCCCAGAATCCTTCAAAGCAACGGACTTACCTGATGACAGGGAGCCAGTGGGCCTCTGGATGCTGACGCTGTGGGCTCCTTGCTGGGGTGTCACACACCTGGGGAGTCCTGGGTGCATCAGCCACCCTCAGTGGAGGGAGCAGCGGTGCGAGGAGGCCCTTGGTGGAATCTCCACGCCACCAGAGCCAGGCCGCTCCTGACCTGCCGGCAGCCGGTGAATAAGCAGGAGATGTCCGCAGGTTCAGGGGGTTTGAGGTTTGCAGTGTGGTTGCTTCATACACTGGGCACTCCCTGTCCTGAGCTGGAAGAAGGGGTGGTTTCTTGAGAGATACTGATTTTCAACAAAATTCCTTTTTCTATGTGTGTACACAAAGGTGTGTTGCAACATTATCTGTAAGAAGAAATAACTGAGAAATATGCTTGCTATTTAGGGGCTGATTTGAAATAAATGATGGCATTTCCATAGTGGAATAAAAAAAGAAGGACCTACTACTATTTTAAGGTTTCTAAGAATATTGCTGGGTGAAAAAAAAAAGCAAATTGCAAATAGTATTTGCAGTAAGATTCAATTCATGTTTTTTTTCTGTATACACTTTGAGAAATAAAGGAATTCACAAGAAATTTGGAACAGTGGTGACTGATTGCTGGATAGTAAAACCTGGGGGTGGGGAGTGATTCTACTTTTCTTTGGCAGTTTACAGATTTTCTTTTTTAGCTTACTTTACTTTTTTAGCTTACTTTCCAATAAAAGGAGTTTTGAAAAATTCCTTCTTGCCTAATGAAAAATATTTGTCAAGCAGCCAAGTTTCCAATAAACAAAATTTCTCCACCAGCAATCAAACTATAGCGGATTATTTTGAAAAGAGTTTACAACAGTACCTCTCAGTGAGGATGAGGGAGGAAGATGTTCTCCACGTATAGATTCTGAATCTACCCCAGATTGAGAAACACCAACTTAACATACTGCACTTTTATTATTATTATTTTATATTCTAGGAAATTTCTGCATTAAAGAAAACATAACAAAGCCCCATGTACCCAACATCAAACTTCATTAATTAATACAGCAAATCCTGTTTCATACCTACCTCACTGCCGCTCTCCTCCACCCCTAAATGTCATGTCATTTATCTTCCCATAAGTTAAGAGCGCTTTCTTTTATAAACTTTACCATAATGCCATTAAGATGTGTTTTTGAAAGTTGTCAATAATGTCTTTATGTCACTAAATATCTAGTAAGCATTCAAATTTCCAGATAAGATCTCTACATTATATTTGGATCCTACGTCCATTTAAACTTATAGCTTTCTCTCCTTCAGGTTTTGCCTTTGCAATTTATTTGTTGAAGAAAACAAGTCATTTGTCCCACAGATATCTCCACATTCTGGACATTGTTGATCATATGCCTGTAGTGTTTATTCAGCATACTCTCCTGTTCCCCCTGTTAGGTGTAAATTAGTAGTGAGCTCTAGAGTTAGTCTGATTTGGGCCTTATTCTTTGGCAATGATAGATAATTTCCCACGTGTTTCTGTAATACTACTGCTCCCTATGATTATTGGTTGCATTGTGTTCCCCCACAAGTTATGTTGAAGTCCAAACCCCCATGCCACAAATGTGATCTTATTTGGAAACAGGGCCTTTGCAGATATAATCAGGTTAAAACAAGTCCCACCCTAATTTAATCCTTTTAAGAAGAGGAAAATTTGAACATAGACTCAGGAAGAATATGGCCATATTGTTACAAGGCAGGGAGAGGGCCAGTCCAGACCCCGTAAACCTGCCTATTTTAAATGGTTTTGCCATCTGCCACATCAACACAAAACATATGAGACTTTAATGGGAAGGAACTTTAATACAATTAGGAAACAATACAGAAAAGGCAAAGAATATAGTTTCTAAATCAAGCACCCAATGTTACCCGTCCCCTTGTGGGTAAAAATCCACCCAAATGGGATTGGCCCAGAGCAAGGCCCCAAAGCCTGCCACAAGTCTAAAGCATCTTCGAGTGGGGACCCACAGAAAAGGGTCAGAAACAACCAGACAAGCCCAGAAGGAAAAGAGCAAAATCAAAATCAAGATAAAAGCTGCCATTGTCACCTCCCCAGGGGTCTCTCACTCACATCTGTATCACCCCGTCCACGACCAAAATGCAAGCGCAGTTTCTTCACATGTCTCTCGGCCCCATGTGCCTCTTCCAGGTCTCCTTCTGGATCTCCATCCTGCTTCCTTCCTTCCTCAGTCTCCTCTGCAGCTTCTTCTCTCCCTGCTCAGCTCCACCCTCCATTTGGGTAGGGCAGGGAACCTGGAACCTTCCCCTTTCCTGGGGACCACTCTGTTACAATATGACCACAGAGACCGAGATTGGAGTGATGCATCCATCGGCCAAGAAATGCTGGGACCAGAAGGAAAACTCTAGAAACATCAGAGGAAAGGAAGGACCTTCTTCTAGAACTTCAGAGGGAGCATGGTCCTGCCAATACCTAGATTTTGGGTTTCTAGTGTCCAGAACTGTGAAATAACAAAATTCTATTTAGTGCAAGGAAACTAATACAATTATCATTGCTAGAATCATTGTTTCTTTAAGGTCTTAATTATTGGCTGGACTATTCCTATAAAAATAAATATTTACTATTTGGTTACCCTCAGTTTCAATTCAAATTATAGTTAGATTATTTCTCTTTACCCACCTATTTTCAAAAGAATGAGTTGGTTCCCTAGTGCCCCCCAGAGATGAATAAGGTGTTTTTCTTTGTAAGTATTGCCATGAACTTGTGAAGTTTCAACAGGATTCATGTGTTTCTTCCAGTTATGCTTACTCATTCATATTTAAACAGCCTCATTTGTGGCTAGTGGGAAGTTTGACAAGAACATAAGTTTTTCTGAGTCCTTGATGTGACCCCAAGGAATTTCTGGTATGTTGTGATGTTCCAGGCTCATCATGTGCATTTCCTGCCTCAGATGAGAACCATCCATTTCTCTAAGGAGCCCTGGTTCCACTTAGTGGGAAATAGTATTTAGAGAGGCGGTGAGACTGGCATTACTGGCATGCATAGCATTTGATTGATCATTGTTTATATGGTTTTGAGTGGACAGTGTTGGGAACTAAATTTTTCATACTTCATACTAATTTTCTATTCAAATTTAAGAATATAGAATGTTCACTAAATTTTTATATTCTATATTTACACTCCTTTGTTTCTTACAGTAAAAATCTTGACTTCTATTAACACTAACATAATTACACATTTGCTTTTTCCTGTAACATACAGCTAATCGTTTTAGGCTAATACCACCACTATTATTACTAACAACATGAATACTGAAAGGTTGTAGAAATTTTTTGAAGTTGTTTTTCTCTTAGGATATTTCCCACTAAAATGTACTACAATTTACTCTGTTAAACATCTTTGAAATAATTCTACTCTGTGTGATTGGCACTAACTCAATAAACAGAAATGTTTTGTTTTGCTTTTGATTTTGGGGAATAGCTTCTCTTCAGTTTTGATTTAATTTAGTTTATATTTTAATACAAAATATGCTAATGACTCTAAAAATAAAGCCTACAAAGCAAGACATACTCAGAAAAGTCTAACTTTTAACCCTGCCCCTTTCCAATTTCTTCTATCCCTCTAAAAACCATTTAAGGGCCTCCCTCATGGTGCAAGGGATTAAGACGCAACCTATGAAGCTAACCGCAGCCACCACAGCACAAGTTCAATCCCCAGCCAGGGAGCTACCCATATGGCACAGCAGACCTCTCCTGACTCACCTACAGCTCCTCTCAGCAGTGTATTTCAGTCAAGCTGCCTGTTCTGTTCCCCACTCTGTCTCTGGTGAATCCTCTCACCCCCATACCTCTGGCCTGTACCCCAGTTCTTGTATGCATAAATAAATGAATCTTAAAAAAAGATAATCTTTAAAAATTATGATTTATTATTCTATTGGTTTTTCAAAATGAGGCAAACTACTGTATTTTTTTAATGACAACAAGTACTATACATATAAGTGTGTAGCTTGCTGAATTTTGACAAATATATACATCCACATAAGCAGATAAAGATAAAATATATTTATCATCCTACAAAGTTACCTTGTCTCTACCCCAAGAGTCACCTATATTCCATTCCCAAGAAATAGTTACTATTATGGTTTATACACCAGAGATTAATGTTGTTCATTCTTGACGTCTACATAAATGGAATCATGCAGAGTGTGCTCTTTTTATATCTGATTCAATTTGTGTTTGAGAGTTAGCCATATTGTTGTAGCAGCAGCTCATTCTTTTTTATTGCTGAGTAGTATTTCATTGTATTATTATACCACAATTTATCCTTTCAACTATTGATAGACTTCTCTATTATTTCTAGTTTTTCTATTTTTTAAGGATTTATTTGATTTATTTATGCATATAAGAACTGGGATCTAGGCCAGAGGTGTAGAATAGCTGGGGAGGATGAGAGGATTCACCAGAGACAGAGTGGGGAGCAGAACAGGCAGATAGATTGAAATACACTGCTGAGGAGAGCAGTGGATGAGATAGGAGAGGTCTGCTGTGCCCGCTGCTCCCCTCAGCAGTGTGTTTCGTCAGTCTGCCTGTTCTGTTCCCCACTCTGGCTCTGGTGAATCCTCTCACCCTCCTGCATTTCTGACTGTACCCAGTGCTTGTATAAATGAATAAATAAATCTTAAAAAAAACCCAAACAGTATATCTTAGCAGTATATCCTGGCATGTGAAGTCAGGATATAATTAGAATATTGCTTTTCACAAAACTGTTTTACTGATTTGAAAAGGTATGACAACACCCTGAAGAATTTACAAAAATTATATGTTATATGGAGATGAGTCAATAACATCACAAAGAGTTATTTCTTCGGCCTTTCCTCCCTGACTGGCTGGTTTGATTCAGATATAGTATTGTTGACAACTTGGCATGGTCTGGTTATGGGAGATTAGTGATTCACTCTGACCTGACTGTTGGTCAGAAATTTACATAACAAACAAAGAAAATGTTTCCTCCTCAATAGTCACCAGGCTTTCTTCAGCAAGCCTTCCAAGCATCTAATTCCATTGTGTTCTTTCAGTACTCAAGTTCCAGTAAGATTCATCCTCCAACTCTTAAAGCAATACAGAGGATGGACATTTAATCTAATTACTGTACTTATTTATCAAGAAAGCACCTGTGAATTTGGTCTGTGAAACTTCTTGGAGATTTTATATTTATACGTATGTGTATGTGCATACTCATTCATGGATCAATTTTCATTCTACACAACTTAAATCTTGCTGAAAATCATAGGGCATTATAGTTGGATTTCTGGTACTCAGAAAGGGCTCTGTATTATATTACAGCCCAGTACCCTTTGTGTACTTTAAAAAGTGATGTTTTAAAAAAGCTGTCAAAGTTTTAAATTCAAAAACTCTTAAGCCCAGGGCCTCCCTGGTGGCGCAGCAGTTGAGGCTGGGTTGCAAAGCTGCCCGCAGCCTCTGCGGCACCGGTTCGATCCCCGGCTGCTCCCCGGTCACCAGAGGAGGGTCCCACATGGCGTGCAGACCTCTCTTGCCGCCCGTTGCTCCCCTCAGCAGTGTACTTCGGTCCTTCTGCCTGCTCTGATCCCCGCTCTGGCTCTGGTGAATCCTCTCACCCTCCCGTGCTTCTGACTGTACCCACTGCTTGTATAAATAAATAAATATTAAAAAAAAATGTTCTTTAAAAAAACAAAAAAAAACCAAAAAACAAAAAAACAAAAAACTCTTAAGCCCAGCAATTTACCTAAGTTTACCATATCCCCCAAATATAGCATGTATGTGTTCAGGGATGTTCACCGCAACATTATTTGGAATAGAAAAAAATAAAACCTAAAAATATGCTAAATGCCAATTAATAGAAGACCAGTCAAATCCATATAGTGGAAAACTATACAGATACCTAAAAGAATAGAAGTGATCTGAATATATTATTGTGGCACATCCTTTAAGATGAATTAAGTTAAAAAGCGAGGTGAAAATAGTGGGTATAATACAATCACATGGGCATAAATTTCAAAAGAAACTGGATGGTGAGATAAATAAATATATATATAATTATATGTATATATATATATACATGTATGCCTTTACCTGCATAAAGGCACCTTTTTTTAAAGATTTATTTATTTACACATACAAGAACTGGGGTATAGGCCAGAGGTATGGGGGTGAGAGGATTCACAAGAGACAGAGTGGGGAACAGAACAGGCAGCTCAACTGAAATACACTGCTGAGAGGAGCTGTGGGTGAGTCAGGAGAGGTCTGCTGTGCCATATGGGTAGCTCCCTGGCTGGGGATTGAACTTGTGCTGTGGTGGCTGCGGTTAGCTTCATAGGTTGCGTCTTAACCCCTTGCGCCACCAGGGAGGCCCAAGGCACCTTTTTTTCTAATAGGAATACACTGTTAACTGGTACCATGTGTGTATTTTTAGGGCAAAGCCGGTAGGCAGAGGAAATGGAAAATTTTACATCTTCTGAAGACCTAAAATTGTTTCATTATACACATACTATTATTATTTTTTAATGAGATAATTTTAAAAACATTTTTGACTGGAATCTACTTATAAGCATGCAATCAGACAAATCTCAACTATGTCTCATTCTATTAGACAAAAAAATAATTCCTGTCCTGAAAACGAGGATGAGCACTGTATTAGGTATTAGGTGACAATAGACTAAAAAGACACCACAACCAGAGGTATGTAAAGCAGTACTAACATCCATTACAACTCCAGCAATACCTTCCTAGGCCATGGCATGGTGATGAGTTATGGGTGGAGCAGAATCTTGAATGCACCTGAGCTTCCACCTCCCCCCAGCTCAGCAGCAGCAGGGAAAGAGCCAATTCACTCTGTACAGGAGTCATGATAAGGAGACACTACCCACAGCTTAATGGAATCATTGACTTAGCACCAATTTCTAATTCCAAGAAATGGATTCTCTGAGAGCCATGTGCATGCACACAAGGCAAATATACCCATGCTCACCAATCACCATCCATCCATGCATCCAGCCATGCATTTGTTGAGCTCTGCTCTATGCCAGACACTGATCTAGACACTGGGAAGAGGGCAGAGAACCAAAGAAAGCCCTGATCTCAGGGGGCTTACATTCTCATAGAGGTGATAACTGATAAGCAAATATATCAGGTGGACATGAATGGAATGAAGAAAAACAAAGCCAAGTGATGAAAAGGGTCCCTGGGGTACAGGGGTCAGAGAAGGCCTCTCTTTGAGAGAAAGCAGGGTGAAGAAGAAAGTGAGCCACACAGGTACCCAGGGGAAGTGTGTTCCAGGTAGCATTAGTCATGTCAGCAGAATGTCATTAGAAACCTGAGCCTCTTCCTTTAGTGCTTTTAAGTCACTGCTTAGAATTTATGTTGTCCAGGAAATGAGGAATTATTCACCAATGCATGTACTCCTGGCACAGTACTTTGCTAAAGCATTTTGCACCAAGAGAATGGCGAGTGGCAGCTGCTACCT